GGTTAGGGCATAAACGCCTTGTGAAAAAGGTCGAAGCCTCTACCCTGTCAAAATTTTGGACTGTACAATCCTGGTCAGTACAGATCTCAAACAACCGAGGGAACCTCAAATTGAGTGGGGGCAGCCCATCAATTGAGTCTTTCCACACCCTGGTCAGGTTGCCGCATCCTAGCTTGATCTTTCTTCCCATCATGTACAGCTCCCTGACTTTCAGAAGAGCTTTCCAGCATGGGGAGTCAGATTGTCTAGGTTGCACAGTTGCCACCGACTTGTTATGTAAATATCTGGCTCTCACCAAGTTTTGCCAAACCCCAGTTTGGGTTTCTAATTTCCACCACCATTTCACCATCAGACAGATGTTTTGTTTCCTGAGGTCTTTGACACCCAGACCCCCTTTGCCCTTCGATCTACACACCCTCTTCCATTTGACCAGGTAATATCTATTTTTCTTATTGCAACCGTGCCAGAAAATTTTTCGACAGTGCTTGTCCAGCCTTTCTATGAAAGTTTTACTCATAAGCCACATGGACATATGATATAAAGATAGCTGCGACAGTACCGAGGTAAGCAAAGTAAGTCTGCCCCTGCTAGATGCAGCATTACCAATCCAGGACCCGAAACTCTTGAGGTATTTATCTACAATAAACTCCCACATTGAATCTTTAAGAGTTGTGAAACTCACAGGCATTCCAAGATATTTGATTGGAAAGTGTCCGATCTCGCAGTTAAAGATCTCAGCATACTTGCTATCTATGTCAGCGTCCCCTTCGACAGTCAGGATCTCGCTCTTCTGGAAGTTTACTTTCAGTCCAGACATGAGCTCGAATATGTATAAGAGGAGCTTCAGATTTAATGCCTTTTCCACATCATGCTCGAGACAAATGATCGTGTCATCTGCGTATTGCAGAACTGCCACCCCATTCGGGACAAGATCAGATGCTAGCCCAGTTAGGAGGCCATTTTGCTGCGCTTTACGGATCATCTTGTTGAGACATTCTACAGCTAGGTTAAACAGAAAGGGGGAGTGGGGGTCTCCTTGGCGCACCCCTTTAGCACTTTGAAAATATGGCCCCACTGAGTTATTAAGTTTGATACTAACAGTACCATTGTATAGGATATTTTTCACCCACCCACACCAGGTTTCGTTGAACCCCCTCATTCTGTGGCAATCCAACAGAAACTCCCAGTTAACCTTGTCGTATGCTTTCTCGAAGTCGAGCTTAAGCACCACCCCTACTTTTTTCTTGACATGGGTGTAATTGAGGAGCTCATGTAAAGTCATAATTCCATCCATAATGTTCCTCCCTTTCACAAAAGCATTTTGTGACAAACTTATCAGCTTGTCAGCTTATTTTTCTACTCTCCGATCCATAGTCTTAGTAATCAGTTTATATGGGCACCTAAGGAGACAGATAGGTCGAAATTGCTGGATACGATCCGCACCTGACACTTTAGGGAGAAGAGTAATCACCCCATAGTTAAGGCGCTGCACGTCAAGCGTTCCAGCATGGAAGTGGCTGAACAGCCGCATGATGTCATTTTTAACAATGCTCCAGCAATGTTGATAAAACTCCGCAGGAATGTTATCGGGGCCAGGTGCTCTATTAACATCCATTGCAAACAAGGCCTCTTTCACCTCCTCTTCTGAGAAGGCTCTAGTCAGATCAATATTATCCTCTTGAGTAAGTTTTTCTGATTCATCCCACGAGCCAGGATCCATGTGAAGCAAGTTGCCTGGGGCTGGGCCGAATAGGGTTTTATAAAACTCTGTGGCATGTGAGATAAGGTTATCAGTACCTTCTATCTCAACATCACCATATTTATGTGGTGCACTTCAACATCACTCACCCCGTGTACCTTGCCACACGCCACGACGTCGATGCCTGGCGATGGCACGATAGGTTTGGCCACATGTCCTTCAACATGCTGAGATGCATGTCTCGCAACAAGATGGTGTGTGGGCTGCCAGAGCTGGAGCATGTGGACTATCTCTGCGATGTCTTCATCACCACCAAGCATCGACACATTCCCTTCCCCAAGAAAGGCGAACTTCAGGGTTGAAGGACGCCTTGGCCTCGTCCATGGCTACGTGTGCGGGCCTATCATCCCCGCAACCCACGGCAACCACAGCGGTTGTCGCTATTTCCTGCTATTGGTTGATGACTGCACCCGCTGCATGTGGGTAGTCCTCCTAGCAGGAAAATGGGATGCTGCTGCTTCAATTCAACGAGTCCAAGCGGCAGCTGAAGCAGAGTGTGGCCGTCCACTCCATGTCTTCCGTACCGACAACGGCGGCGAATTCACCTCGCTGGAGTTTGCACACCATTGCGAGGAGCAAAGTGTGCAAGCCAGTTCACGGCTCCCTACTCCCCACAGCAGAATGGAGTAATGGAACGCCGGAATTGGATGGTCATCACCACTGCTCGTGCCCTGCTGAAACAAAGGAAACTGTCAGCAGAATTTTGGGGGGAGGCGGTCACAACTGCATATGCCCTGTTGAACCGAACCCCTACCAAAAGTCTGGCTGGCATGACGCCATTTGAGGCATGGCACGGGAGGAAGCCCGCTGTCCAGCATGTGTGCACCTTTATGTGCATGGTGTATGTCAAGGATGTGCGATCGCAAGCTTGATGACTGCAGCTCCGCCATGCTCTTCATTGGCTACGACAAGAGCGTCTAGGGCTATTGCGCATACGATCCAGTGAACAAGCGTGTCCATATCACCCGTGAAGAGGCCAGCTGGGATTGGGCGGCTGGCAGCTCGG